GAGTGGCAAAAACAGGCAAAATGAACTGGGCGCCTTGCTTCCACATGAATAAGCAATCAGCCCTCTCAGAAGTTACACCAGAAAGCTGTTAAACTTCATAGACGTTGCTTTTCAGCCATACTGACAAATGTCTATATGGCTGCAGAGAGCTGGAGACCTTCTGAGGACACCGGGGCTGGGATTCCTCCAGGTTGGGCTTAAGAGTCCCTTCTGCCCGTCCATGCCTTCCTTTTATATGTGGACAGAACTGACTGTCTCTGAGGCAGGTTTTCTGGGCTTTTCTTGCCCAGCATATTTTTGCAAATTCTAAGAATTCTACCTCCTTTTAATCTAGCTCTCCTTGTAGTGTAATCCAGGTGGTTGAAGGAGGGAGTCAGTGAATGCTGCTCTCACGTCAAACACTCCTGACCTAACATTTTAGTCCCTCATTCAGAAAAAAGATTTGAGTGATGATCTCAGTTTTTGTTTCATTCGTGGTGATTGGTCAGTGCTTAGTCCTTATGTGGTTTGGGATTGGAACTTCCAGAAATTCCTTCAGAATTCTGCTTGGGCCCATATGCTCTTCCTCCTCAGCTTGGTTATTCTCCACAGATCACTGCAAGGAAGTAAATGGGAAAGAAAGATCATGTTCTCAGGACAATTATCCAGGGAAATAAGAAACTCATTAAAATGAGATTGCAGTCCCTCTTCATTTCCTAATCTCTGTGGACGCCTTCCTCCCCTCAACACCTACACACACGGTCATCCGATACCTACTTCCTCCTTTGTACCAAGACTCCCAGAGCAGCCTGAGTTGGCTGACCTTGTAAACAGGCCGAGCACACACATGCACATGTGTGCTTGGTGCCTACACAAATCGGGGTCAGCTGTGAGAGCAATGCTGAGGAATGGAGCCCTTCCTGGATTCTGTCCTGAATGTGGCAATGGACGGACTTCCCTCATCACACTGTCATAGTCTGCATTCCAACCATGTACTTGCGAGGAACACATTTTACAACCAGGAAGACACAGGCTCTTGGGAAAGCATGCTTCCCTTGGTTGAACTCGGAGGGTTGGTACCTGTAGGAATGGCTGGGCAGGTTCCTCTTTCACACTCATTGTAGAGCCCTTCATGACCCTGCTGTTTCCTCCCTTTGAATTAGGTACTTCCCATGGAAAGGCTTTGCTTCAGTCCTGGACGCCCAAAAGATATCTGTTTATTATTGAAATTGAATTGCTCTCAACTTGTTGACTTCCATGCTTAGTTTGGGCAGAAACAGTGGCTTGTTTAGGGAAAAGGGGGGTGGGGAAGAAGGAAAGGAAGGAAGGGAAAGAGAGGGCTCTGGAGGTGAAGGTGAAGGTCACAGCCAAATGGAAAGATCCTGCAAAGAGAAACGATAGATGAAATGTCCTGTTTAGGGGGAGGGTTTGCTGTACTATCTATGGCCTTCTTTACTCAAGTAAAATGCTTTTCTGAACAGCCAGTGCCTGCTGTGTCCCAGTATGGGATTGTGTCTCAGAATCAAAGACTCACGATAGCATATGAACATATTCAAAAAGGAAATCAGGAGAGGTGTAAATGTCTCATCTTGCCACGATTATTCCTTTTTTCTGCTTTCAGTTTTTCCATCTGGAGATTTCTCTTTTGAGACATGGTCTCATGCTATCCAGGCTGGCCTTGAACTTGCTATGTAGCCAAGGTTGACCTTGAATCGCTGACCCTCGTGCTATCACAAGCGTATGCCAACACAACCAGGATAAACTTATATCTGGTTGGCCTCTGGGGAGGGATCTAAAACATTACCAGGAAAGTGAAAGAGAGGTAAGTAAGCGACTATTAGGCTAATAGACGGGGCAGGTCAGCCCCAAGGCAAAACGTTCAGAGGAATTTATAAGGTTTGCTCGTTCTTTTGTCTTTTTTGTTTTTTAGTGTCATTGGCTCATTTACTCAATTGTTTGAATAAACACTTATTTGCCTACCTTAGGTCAGATGTCATTTTATGGCTTAACTGGACACCAGCTTCTCTTATGGACTGTATTCCTTAGCATTTAGATTCATACTGGACCTTCTGTGTCCAGGTCAAGCCTCACCTCTTCCAGGAAAGCCATTTGAGATTTCTCCTATGCTGGACTCCTGTTTGTTCACAGGAGGGCATCTCTGTCTTCTTCTACTATACCTGTCCTCCCACCAACAAATGCCAGTGCCCTGAAAAAAAAAAGAAAAGAAATCTATTCTATCTCTTCATCACTGAGTTGGTCTCTCCTAATCAGGTCTTTGAAATGAGATTTAAGGCTACTGTAAACCGGGTTATCTTCCACACACAGAGAGATTTAAACCATTTGGGTTTAAATATATGGAAAACAGTCTTCGTGGATGCTGGTGATATTTACATTCAGTGTACAATAGGAAAATGCACTTGGGGAGAGGCATATGGGTAGCCATCTGGATTATTTGGGCACACCCTGAGTAGGGGAGAAATCAGGAAGTGTTGGAGGGAGGCTGAATTAGCCAAACAATTGTGTAGCTCTGCCTTTGCTGTCAAGTGTCACTCTTCATGCTACACTTAGGTATAAGAAGCCATTTTCCCAACCTCTGTATCAAGTATGCCTTAGAGACATATGGGTGACACCTCACACAGACAGAATGGGGTAGACATGAGACAGTTTCCATTCAGTTTGGAGTCTTCCAACCTCAAAGCAGCCAGGTTTCCTCAGTACAGTGAGGGGACTTCCACGGTCCCTGTAGGGGAAGTTTGGATAGGGATAAGCCCCGCTCTCTTTTCTCTCTGCTCAGGTGGCTGCCGGCAGTGTCCACTTCAGCAACCACACACCACTATTTTCTCCGTTGAAAACAAAGGTACTCCAGGAGGTTTACAAATAATAATGACGGCCGCTGATAATGTTCTTTTCTTCCCTTCTTTCTTTTGGGAATTCCGTTCCTTTCTTCTAAGATCTGCTGTTTTTCATATGGCCCTTTCAGAGAAGTGTCTTAAAGCAAATTGTCAACCTTTTTAATGGAAGAAGTCTCCTAAGCAGGCAGAAGACTTTGTGCCCAAAATGAATTATAATCCAGAAGAAATCATGGTTTTAGCTCACTTGAAAAGTGTAGGATTTGAAAAGCTTGGACAACCATTAATGTGTTTACTAAAAAATCTTTACCTAATAGAATTCAAAATAGCCCTCTCTTATTATTTTGAATGTTTCACTTCAATTTTGTAAGATGTACTTATTTTCCTGCCCAAATAGCAGATTTAAAACTTTTGCCTAGATTTTAAGAATATGATCTTTTAAGTTTTTAAAAATAAGAATGGCTGGAAAGACTTTCCTTTCAGACAGCTGTTCAAAACACATGTATCACCCACTTACTTCCAGAGAGAAGAAGAGCCATGTACACTCAAAAACTGTTTTCTGAAATGGCACAAACCTATATGTGAGCCTTTCTAGAATTATGGTACAGTAGAAGCAGGGGGATTTCCTACCAAGGGGCTCTGCATTAGGAGAAGTACCCAAGTCTAGGGAGCCCTGAAAGGAATTCTAATATCCAAACAAAAGCAATATTGCCATCACCATCCATCCTCTCACCCAGAGGAGAAACAATTAATAATTTGCATATGCTCATGACACAAATTAAAGACAAAAGGCCCCTCAAGGGCTGTGGTTGCTCTGCAGCTCTCAGCATGATGCAAGGTTTCAGCCCTGCACTGTTCTAGCTTCCAAATGAATAGCATTAAGCTCCATAACCAAAAATAGGGGTTGTGGGCCCTCTGGCCTGTTCCCACTGTAGAATCCTGTCCCCCAATCAGAAACATCTCCCAGTCTCCCCACGAGCGTCTAGGCAAACAGAATGTATAGTCCCAAGGGGAAAAAAAATAATGTATATACTTTGCCCTTTTTATTTTAATGGCCAAACATTGTAATGCTAGCTAAATAGAAATTCTCATCTGTTAATAGGTTCCTTTAGTTTGTAATAAATAGGAATGCTAATGACTAAAATTTGGTATTTGGTATGCATTAGCTTTTGTGAGCTTTTCTTTACAGCCCTCATTGACATGCAATATGGCAAGCTTCCTTTGAAACATATTTATAAAATAACTACAGTATAATTAAACCAACAAAGCCATCTTTTAAGTACGCTTAATAGCTCAGGTTTTTTTTTTTCATCTCAGTAAAATTTTTATTTTAAAAAGAAAAATAGTTATGCCTCAATCCCACTGTACATTTTATTCTGTGCATCTAATATTTCCTTTACAGCTACAATCTGTGCATATTTAATTCTTCTTGACAACCATGATTATTAATAAAGAGCTCATGAAAGATATACTTCATAGCTTCTTCAACAAGAATAATGTGTTTTTTTGTTAACGGAAATTGTAACATATGTTGACAGATACAATATATAAGATGTGCTTTTTTTTCTTAATTGTAATTTTGCTGTGCTGAATACAGCCGAAATGGCAGGTAATAATCAGAGTGGATGCTATTTTATACAACGTAACCAAAAATATTTTAATGGTATAAAAGCAATAGATAAATAAAAGGAATTATGTTTAAATTTTTTTTTGCGTCCCCGAACCCGCAGTTCTTGTTTCTGCTGTGGCTGCGGGTTTGTTTACCAGAAGAAACCACGAGTTGCAATTCGGTCCTTCTCTGCCCTTGGCCCTTCAGCACTCAGGGCGCGCAGGGCCCGGCTGAATGCAAAATCGGGATACCTAGTGGTTCAAGTTCACCGAGTTTTGTGCGGTTTGTAAGCCCTTCCCCTCTCCCCAGAATTCCAAAGATGCCAAGCCTCGAGACCCGAGCCGCTGGGGCGTCCCCAGGCCGCTGCTTCGCCCCTCGGCCCCCTCTCCTCTGCCTTCCTAGGAAACTCCGTCCCGGCGGCCGAGGAGCTGCCGAGTCCTCTACGCGCCCCCCTGCGCAGAGAATAAACACCATTGACGCCACTGTTATAATCTTTATTTAAAACAGTTTCCAAGGTTACAAATTGCAGGGCCTCGTATGCAACAGGTTCATCCGAAGCGGTATCATTGCAGATTAACTGTAACGTGTAGGATTAAAATAAAACATAAGGGATTAGGCAAAATGGGTTGAAGCTTGGGAAATAACGGCCAAGCGCGTCTCGACCGCGAGTCCGCAGAGGGAGCCTGCGAGGAAGCCGGGCCTTTGGGAGGTCGCGACGCACAAGGCTGGACCCCGCGAGTGGTCAGGGCCGGCGGTTCTGGAAGGACCAGAGCGGCCGGCGGCCGAGAGGTGAGCCTTTCGGGGCGCCAGGGAGGAGACCCTGGGGTCCTGAGGATGGGGAAGGCCCCGGGCCGGGCAGGCGGGACTGTGGTCTGGCTGGGGGCGCCAGGCGGCGCCGGGGACACGGCCCCGTCGCCCTGCGTGGCACCCTGCGAGGCGTGAGGGGGGACAGGGTACCTGCAGGGGCCATCGGGGGTGTGCGCACGACCGACTGACGCGGCCTTCAAGGCCCAGGCCTGAAGGGGTCCCACGTGGGATCCATCTGTCCATCCCCACGGTTGTCCCCTCTTCCAGGCCGCGTCCGAAGCGCCACGTGCGGCCGTCTGAGCGCGGGTCCTGGCCCCGAGCCGTCCCCGGCCACCTCCCCTGCTCGGCGCGCCCCGCGCCCTCCGGCTCCAGGAAGACCCCGGGAGCCCCTCGGTCCCCTCCGCTTCCTGCGGAGCCGGAGCGCGGCGGCCCAGCGGAGGCTCAGCGGAGGCTCGCTGGGGGCGGGGAGGAAGTGTGCAGCGTGGCCCGAGAGGGAAACAAAGCCCGACCCCCCCCAGCCCGGTCACCCCGAGCTGACCCCAGACCCACCCCGCCGAGGCCCGGGGCTCCCGGCCGCCGCCCCCCCCCCCAGCGTCCACGGAGACCCAGCGGGCAGCCAGGCCCGAGGGCGCGAAGGCCAGACCTGCAGGCGGGAAGCCTTGCCCGGCGAAGGGACGCCGACCGGCCAAGACTGGGCGGTGAGCGGGTGGACGGGCAGGAACCCGGGCACTCCGGGGCTCCCCGCAGCCACCGCGGTGCGAGCCGTCCGGGAAGAGGGGAGCGAACTTCCAGGTGGAAGAAAGTAGGCGCGCAACTTCCCCGAGGCCTCCGCCGGCGAGGGAAGGGCCCCGGCTAAGGCGGCGGCGGGAAGGGGCTGGTGCAAACAGCTGTTCCTCATACATATTTCATCACACAATCAGATAATGCGTCCCACTACCTTCTCAATTATTCACAGATAAACATTTTCAAGACGTTTTGACATCTGTCTTGGTGCCTGCTATTAATTTAGTAATCACTGTAGTTAAAAATGTATGGGATTTTTCCCCCCACCGTCGGAGTACCTCCTTTCTGAGCTCGAGCCCAGTGTTGGGCTGCCGCAGAGAGCCCGGGCCCTCTGGGAGTGAAGACACCTTAGGAGGTGAGGTGATGTCTCCAGAGCGTTGACACTGTTGTGGAAAGGATTAAAGGGGTATCTGGTTATTTTAATTTACGGTTGAAGGTAAGGACTGTCATATCATACACACACACACACACACACACACACACACACACACTACCCTGTCACAACTCTAGACCCACAAAGATGATCAGACCTTTGCCCTGGGCAGTGGAAATGGTTTGCTTCATGTAAGCACAAGCGTTTGTTGAGAAAAGCATGGGCAACCTACATAGGAAAACACACGCCTATGCATTGACATATACGGGAGAACTTATCAAGGAACAATAACAAAAGCCTAACAATTATGCGTGCTATCAAAGAGGCCACCAACCTCCGAGGGCCCTGGTTCTGCACCCTGGGCAGAAGGCACAAGAATAGGAAAGAAAAATAAATTATGTCCTGTGCAGTACGTGGAGCATTGGGGGTTATGAGGAAACAGTTGCTCTCTCCTTGGGAGGCAAAACTCCACATAAACATTTTTTTTTTAAGCTGGAATTTGAAAAAAAAAATCGTTAAGACTGGAAAGTCAGGGCAAACATTCCCAACTCTAAAATGCTGTGATTCGTTGTGAGAAATTTTCTAAACTACCCAGAAGGGTAGAGAACGTTGGGTGGCCAGAAGCTCATCTCTTTGTGTTCTGAGTTTTAGCTAGAAGGAACAAAAGTTCCACCGTGGATCTGTGATGACTCGACCTTACTCATTTCACTATTTTGGTTGAGGTCTCTTCCTGAGGTGCATCAGCAGGTGATTCGCATTTGGAAGCAAGAGAAAAGAAGACCTGGAGAAAAACAGCTTTGGAAGAAACTGCCCTCCTAACAGAAGAGTAAGATTACATAAACTCTAAAGTGATTTTCACAATTTATTGTTCAAAATACAGACAAGAACAAATTCACTAAAATATCTAGGAACTAAATGTGTCTTGGGAAAGTGAAAGGAAGAAAATTCTTCCCTAGCCACACCCCTACATCTCTTCAGGGGATCAGTATGCCTGTTGGAGTTTGGCCTGCAGCAGTACTGGGAGTCAGGTCTTTACAACTCTCTCTCTCTCTCTCTCTCTCTCTCTCTCTCTCTCTTGCTCCCTGAAGAGTAGTTATTGGACTTCTTGGCCCAAGAGCTAGCACACTCCCTTCCACTCTCTTCATCCCTTCTTTTCTCCCTCTTCCTTGTCATTCTTTTAAAGAAATGGTCCAAGACTCACCCCTACTGCTTTCAGAGGGAGAGGCTCAAAAAATGCATTCAAGAGGACAAGTTGGAAAATAAGGTGATGTAGGGAAAGGCACCATTTCTTTGGAAAGTCCTTGCCATTGTCTGGGACTGTTCTCCAGGACTCAACAGGCAAAGGAGGTGTCAGAGAGAACAAGCCAGCACACTTACTAGCCCCAGAACAGCTGTGGGAAACCCTGTTGGTACGCTCTGACCCAGGCCAGCACCTCGATCTCTGCCTGGAATAGAGGAGCAGGGTCGAAGACCTCTCAGTATTCTGCAAAAGGAAATTACTCAAATAAATAATTCAGCTTGGTCTAGTATATTCCTTGCAGATTTATTTGATGTACACGGGGTTGGGGAGGGCTACAGTTGTTTTTCTTTAGGTCTCAGAGGAGAAAAGCAAAAAGGGCACAAAATGGCTTTTCCATATCTGGAAGCGTTCTTAGAAATGAATGTCCCCATTGAAAATGAGTCTCCTGTTGCCTGGTGGAGGCCTTCTGGGCTATCTGTTCAAGCTCTACTCCAGAGCGCAGTCTCCCAGGCAGAGGATGAAAAAGACAACAGCCAACCGAAATAACCAAGTGAAGGAGAATCTTTCCTGTGTTGCCCTCTTCTGGGAGTCTCCAACAGAGCAGGTAGGAGAGTTCTAAAGCAGACTCTCGGTGGACGATTCCTTGGTGTTCAGAAAGTGGCCTGAAACTTTTCATCCCGAAGATTCAACCAAGTTTCCTCCTCCAGGGTCAATGTACCTCTTGCAGGAAGTGTTGCCTTCTAGTTGAGCCCATTCTCCTTGGCTTCCTGTGCATCTGTGTGCCTGTCTGGGGCCACTCCATGTGGGCACCGTCGCTTTTGTCTGCATTTGGGCAACTGGGTGTGTACCTACGTATTGGACCCATGCCTTGGACAAGCCTTTATTCCTCCACTTCTGCTGTTAGGGTTCCTGTAATTCTCCTACGTGTGTTCTCGAACAATTGCTGTGCGCAAAATCCTTCTGTGAATACCAGGTAGGGCGTGACCCCAGAGATCTGCGTTGAAGAGAGGAGGTGGGTACAATGGTAGTTCCGGACTTTGGGCGGGCTGTAAGGTTGCTAAGTTCCCCAGTTCTAGGGGCCCTAGGCTTTCCCCACTCCTTCATATACCCTAAGTAGTAACTGTTTACAAGAAGAAGCGACTGTCTTCCATCTCACCAGCCTCTAGACCTGTAGACTGTAGCTCCGAATAGCCAAAACTGGAGGCAAAGTGAAGTCTTAAGGCCTTAAACATCAGCTGGCCTCCGGGCCACCTTCGTCCAAGTGTCGCCTTGGGGCTGGGAGGGAGCAAAGGCCCCGTAGGTACCTAACCTCAGGGAGCCTTTAGGCCAGCACCCCGAGCGTTAGGGGAGCGTTAGGGGGCGAAACTCTCCTTGCTGGCGCCCCTAGAGCAGCAACATTTACAATTGCAAACTTGCAGGGCCCGCCCCCTCGGCTCCTCCTCTGGCCCTCACCCCAACTTTAAGCTCCCAGCGGGAGAGCCAGAGCTAGAGTCATAGTCTCCCTTAGGCGCCCTGGGGCCAAGCCACTTCTCAGGGTCCCTAGAAGGACCTAAGGGCCTGGATAGCAGAGGCATAGTAGTAAAAACTGTGACCACGGCTTTCTAAACAGCCGGAGGCGCTGTATTCCTCCGCGACCTCTCTCCCCGGCCTAGGCAGCTGGAGTACACACTCGCCCACCCCAGAGCCGGCGAGCAGGCATGGGGCGCGCGCCGGGAAGGGTGTGTGCGCACGTGTCCTCGTGCGATTGGAAGTGGTTACACGGACTCTTCCAGACGAGGTTTTTCCCCGTGATTGAAGATGACTTGCGACTAACTTCAGGTGGTGGGTTCCTACAGGACCAACGCCAGTCCGGCTGTCGGCCTGTGGGTTTTTCCTAGGTTCGCACTGAGGGAAGCCACCGCCCCCCGCCCTCGAGCAGCCCTCAAGGCCCGGTGAAAGGGTCAGGCCCCGGGCCCTGAGATCTGTAGGACTGAAGATCTTAATGTTCGCCCCAGAGATCTGACTCAGAGGTCTAAGCTGTTGCGTGCCCTCGTAGGTTCAGGAGGGAAACCTGCGCGGGTGAAGGAGATCCTGATAACCACCCCATCCCCATGGCAGGGAGGAGTTCTGACCTCTACACACGGGACCTTCGGACCTACTTACTGCCTTGCCATCTCACTCCAGGCCCAATCTGTGATCCGGGTTGGCGGCGGCGGGGTGGGAGGGCTGCTGGAGGAGTTGGGTGGAGGTGGAGATGCAGAGAGGGAGGAAAAAGAAGCAAGATTGGGTGAGGATGTGCAGATGGGTGAGGATGAGGTGGAGATGGAGTTGGGGATGCACCGCGGGGCACCAACTATTCACCCTTCCGTGGAGAGGTGCGTCTGGCTGCTCCGTTACTCCCCCCCCCAATAAAGCTAATGATGTAGTAATTTAGGAGGGGTGAGGGGCTGGGCGAAAGGAGGGAGGGGAGACGATGGGGAGAACGCGCGCCCCGAGAGCGAAAGCACACAGCTAGCTCTAGAGGCGCTGCCACAGTTCGCGCTTCCCAACAGGTTAGCTAGCCTAGGATCCACCCGGCATTTCGCAGGAAGGGGGGGGTTGTGTGTGCGTTGAGATAGCTAGAGGAGGGGAGAGTCTTCCTGGAGGACAGGGGGAGGGAGAGAGAGCTCGGAGCGAGAGCGCGCGCGCAGAGCCCTTTGAAAGGACTTCCACTTCCTAATGAATATTTATCCGCCGCTGCTGCACTCTCCCGGCTTCTCTTACCTTTCCGCAGGTAAGAGCCTCCCTGGTCCCCTACCCTAGTAGCGGCGGGGGTCATCCCAGCTCCCCCGACCCTGGCGCGAGTGGTGCGTCTTTGGACCGGCGGGGTGAGGGGTGGGGTGTGGGGCAAGGTGGCTTCGCTGTGTGCGATGGGTTCCGCACGACCAACACAGAGTGTGGGAGCTACCTGTGTGTGCGCGTGTGTGTGTGTGTGTATGTGTGTGTGTGTGTGTGTGTGTGCGCGCGCGTGTGTGGAGGGGGGGAGAGAGAGAGAGGAGGAGAGGAGAGAGCGAATGTGCGCCCCCGAGCGCGCATCTGCTCTAGGCGCGCATTAAGGACATTTTCGGACTTTTCTCTCTGACGTCCTGTATCTCTCGCCTTTGCCTTTCTTTGCCCCCCCCCCCCCCCCCGCCTCTCCACCTCCTCCCCCACCCCAGCACTACCCTGGGTTGTAGACCGCTCTCCTGGCCGGCTTTGTGCCGCCGGCGCGCATCCCTCCTGCCGGGCCCTCGCGTCTCTCACAAAGAGGACCAGAGCTCCTTTTCCACTGTAACCTTTACCCTTTCTGCCGAGACCGCCGGTCAGGGCACCCCGACCCCCTTCCCGCCGGTTCAGCTCCCGAGGGTCTGCCGCGCGCTCTGCCGCTGTCCCCCTCTTGGGGCGCAGGGGCTCCGTGCGAGGAGCTGAGAGTACTGAGCGGTGGTCGGGACTCCAGGGTACCACTGGGCGGAACTTCACAAGGGTCTACTAACCTGGAACCGGGAGCCAGAGATCCACCCCCAGTAGGGCGCGGGTACCCGCCGCCCCCCCACCCGCGGCCGCGCGGGCGGGAGGAGCCCAGCGAGCTCGGACCCGCCTAGGGGGAAAGAGGGAGGGGAAAGGGAAGGGGTCAGGGAGGAGCCGACGGTGTACGGAGAATTCTCGAAACAGACTCACCCAGCCACCTGTTGCGACTCAGTCTGGGGTCGGGCAGCTCCAGATCTGCTCCAGGTGGACACGCACAAAGGCAGACACCCAAGTTTGGAAAAGAAAAGTCTCTGGCTTCGCCGGGCGCAGCCGGTTAGACGAGCAACCCCGCGCGCGCTGGGGTCGCGAGGCTGTAGGATCCAAGAGGGGCTTGAGGCCAGAGGACCCGCCACTTCGGGGTCGGCTCCCGCCGCACGCCCCCTTGTCCGGGAGGCCAGGGGCTCGAGTTCAGGAAGCCGGCGCTCGGGGCCGGCGCCCTCGGGGCGGTTGCAGCCGGAGCAGGCCCCGCTGAGCCCTGCTCAGAAGTCAAGAGCAGCGGCGCAGCCGCTCGTCGCAGCCTTTCACGCTGCAGCCGCTCCTCATTCTTGTGCCTCGGACCTTCTGAGCGCCCCCGGACAAAGCCCCCACAACCCGGCCTCTCCCTTCCCGCTAAATCCCCTTCGGGGTCAGTGCGCTACCGGCACCGGGCCGCGCGCCTCTCCTGCCAGCCCTGTGGCTCTTAAAGAGCCCCACACCCCTCCGCCCCGCGCGCTCCTCCGACCCCCCCCGCCACCCCTCCCCTCTCCTCCGGATCTCGCCCCCCACGCCGACGCCTGAGGTCCCTACTGCCCCGACCCAATGCCCGCGGACTCCCAGCCTCCTCCTTTCGCCCCCCTCCCCTAAGCAGCCGTTGCCCCCACCACCACCACCACCACACACAACCGAATTCTACTCTCCATTTCGGGTCTCCCTTCTCGCCAAGAGCACCCACTCCTGACTTTTTTTCAGCCCCTGCTTTGCCCTTTAGATCATGACCTGGCACTACCGTTTCCCAGCTCAGAGCTGATCCTCGTCCGAGTTTCTGCCTGGGCTTGGTTTAGGGGGTCTTGGAATGGAAACGGGGCTGGGCACGGGAGTGGAGCTGAATGGAAGGAGGGAAGGGAGGAGGGGCAGGTCAGATAGACTGACTCTGAGGCGCTTTTATCTGGGGCCTACACTGGCCTTCAACAGTAGTTGAAAACTGGCATTCCTGGGGTTAGACATCTCACCTTGACCAGTGTTGGGGCTGGGGGGTGGGAACCTGTGGAGAGGGGCTTCCAGAAGATCCCAGTGGAGAACTGTGAGCTCCCTGCTCCCCAAACTCAGTTGTGTAAAGACCCAAGAACTAGGTGCACAAGGAGGGTGTGAAAGGGGACCTTAAGCTCCAATTGTCCAGGAGAAAGGATAATGGAGGAGAGTGGGCAGGAAGACAAGTCAGCTCTTTCTGAGGAGTGGAGGGCAATTTCTAATGTTTTCTTGTATTAACTAGTTAACATGTTCCTTGGCCCAAGAAGAGGAGAAAAAGAGTAGATGATTGTCACAGTGGATTGCTGTCTCCACTCCCCTTTCTTCCAGAATTTTCCCTCTCTTCTCCAGGCTTGTTTTGGTTCCAGTGTTGCCCAAGGAGAGTAGCCTTCTTTGGAATGCCTTCTTCAGGCCTCTCCAGGGCTAGAAACACGATTGAAGGGAGACGGGGAAGGGACAGTGTGAAGGCAAGTGTGAGCCTTTAAGTCAGGCTGTAGTACCCTGGTTTCATCAGTGCCAACCGTTACATCATTTCACTGTTTGGGCTCTGGAGGAGGTGTGTACGAGCTGTGGCTGTTTGGGTAGCTGAACCTGCCCACTCTTTCTCAAATACAGGCCAGGGGTTCTAGTTGCGGGAAGGTTGGTTGAAAGAAGGGTGAGTCCTCCTGGTGAGATGAGGCCGAAGGAATTTGAGGAAGAGGGGTGGAAAGCTGACCCTCCCCTGTGTGTCTGCCCTTCTGCCCTTCCAACTCTAGTCCAGACGCACCTTTTAGGAAGTGGAGTGGTTAATTGATTTACAGCTGGCCCTGTGGGGGAAAGTTCATGGTACACAGGGATGAGCTAGATCCGAAGGCTGTAAAACCCACCTCCCTCCTTCCCCATGCTACAACTATTGTAGCTCTCACTCCCCCACTCCCCCAAGTATCCGGCTCCTTTCTCTTGGGACTACATCTCTGTGCAGCCAGCTAGGCTGGGACTGTGCCCACCCTCCCGGGCCTGGCGGTGGGAGGTGTTCAGGTCCTAGACAGAGCTAAACCTCTCTTGTTTGAGGATGTGGGGGGTGGAAGGGCCTTTAGCGGGCGGCGGGGCTCATTAGGCAGAGCGGGGTGCCGAGAGGTGCGCGCTGCCGGCCCCAGAGGCCTCCTTTGAGGCGTCGGGGCGGCTTCATTAAGCAGCGCTAACAAGGCGAACAAATGCCGGGCCTAGCAGCTTTCTCGCAATGGTGGGGCCTTAGCAGGGCGCCAGGCTAATGAGGGTCACTCAAAGAGGCTGATCAAATATTCAAATTTCCCCTCACGCCAGGAACTTTTATGCACCGGGAAAGTTGAGGCAACTGAGCTGTGTTTACTGTCCTGAACGACAATTGCTTGAAGCCCGGGTCCGCAGAGGCTAAGGAAAGGAGGGGAGCTAAGGGGGAGGGGGACCAGTTGTTGTTGTTGTTGTTGTTCAAAGGAAAATAATCGGGGGTCCTTGAAGGGCTTCTAGGCCTCCCAGCCCGAGTACTGCGCTCCCCTACGCCCTCCCTGGCGGCCTGAGCCAAGCTCCTTCTTTTGCAGCTTGCGGGGAGGCCCAGACCACCCGCTACCCAGCCATCTCCTTCTTCCGACGTCCTAGAGAGCCCGGAAGAGGCGTTTCCCCCTGGACCAACCTTCCTGATCATTTGGGTCGGCTGTTCCGGGTTGAGCCAGGCGACCCGGGTGTAGCCGTCCCAGGCCTTCTGGGGCGCGCTCTCCCGCAGACGCGCGAAACCCTGGGCTCTCCCTGTAATCCAAAGCAAGGAGTGTGGTTCCCGCAAAGCCCCCCGACCGGACTGAGAGGTCCTCAGTGCTAGGGTTGGAGCTGACGTCTGTAAATAAATGCTCGGGCAGAGCACGGTAGAACACTACCCATCCAAACGCTCCTCTTTCCCCCACCCCACGCCAACTGAACTCTGACCCCACCCCACCCCCGAGCCGGCAGGCCAGGGTTAAAGGGTGGCGGCAAATTTGTCTGTGCAGGTGACCTCTGTGGGTACGGAAGCCGTAGGCACAGCAAATTCCCGGTCCTTGAGTCTGAGAGGCGAGATAGAGAGGGAGGGCTTGAGGCCCTCCAAGCTGATCCCTCGGGTTTTGCAGCCCCGAGAGATCCCGGGTGCGGGCGGCCCTCAGCGTCCCATTCACTCTGGAAGCGCCCCGGGCGCAGTCCCCTGCCCTGGTACCACCCGCCCTACCTCAGCGAGGAGGGCAGCCCGGGTCCTCTGCACCAGCCCCTCTCCCCAACGCCCAGAGCATGGGAATTCGGAGGAACTCCAGAGGTCCACGGCCCCCACCACCCGGCCCCGCAAACGCACACACCCCAAGCTTTTAGATAGAGACCCCGCAGAGCCTCAGCGGGATCCAGGGCTCCGCTAAGCGTCGGGGACCACCCGCCCCGCCTCTCCGCCCTGCTCTCGGGACTCTCGACTTACCGGCTTCGGGGAGGCAGCTCAGCGCTTCCGGCCTGAGCCGCAGAGAGGCTGGCGGCGCCGTGGCCTGAAGGTGGGCTCGGAGGGCGGCGCGGAGCCCCGCTCGGCGGAGAGGCTCTCCCGCGGCCGGCCGGGGCGGCTGCGGGCCCCCTCGCCGGCGCCCTCCTCCCGGCTCGGCGCGCCCCGGGCGTGCCTGCCACCGGGCCGCCGAGCCCGGCGGGCCCACGAGCGAGCCGGCGCTGGCCGGAGCGCGGGGCTATGCCCGAGCAGCACCGGTGATCCCTTTGCCTCGATTCTTCTGGAGTGGCGAGGGTTTTCGATTTCAGCGCTTTCGGCACGGCCCGCAGCACCTGCCCAGCCTCCCTTCAGGCCCGGGTCCCCCCCACTCGGAGGCGGGGGGCTGCGGAGATTGGGAGGGACCGACCGGGTTCACCCGCCCGCCTGGCGCCTGGGTCCCTGGCTCCCGGGGGATGCAGTTTCGGGGTCACGAGCTGCTTTCAAAAAGTTGAACACAATATTCGGAAACCCACCCGTAGGAATTCTCCCCCTCCACGCGGCACAATACCCACTCCCCTCCCCTTTTTCATTTCTTCCTCCCCCGCTTCCTCCTCCTGCCCCTTCTCCCGCCCACCTTTCAGCCTATAATCCTTCCCCTACGAGAGAAAGGGGTCGGGAAGAAAGGATGAAGTGTCTGTTTTTGTGTCCCAACCTTTGGGCCCTTTCTGGTCCCGCAAGGAGCGACCGCCCAGAGCTTCGCAGCTGAGGGGGAAAGGACTCCCGGGCCAGGGGAAGGAGCGTGGAGACAGAGAGGCCGCCAAAGCGGGGCTCGAGGGAGCCACCTTTTAGGGGAACACAGGAACCGGTCCTGGTCGGCGGGTTCAGGTCTCCCACCTGCCTCCAGCTGAAGAGCCAGTGTAGTCCCCAAGCCCAACCCAAACCCTCCGTGTCGCCCTCAAAGCGGGTTTGCTCTTCAAAACCTGGCACGGCCGGATGGAGGCCTAGGAAAGACCCGGACTTGAGGTTTAGGGCCTGCGACCATTTTAGCTCCGGCCTCCAGTTAGGTTCACATTTGAATTCCCCCAGAACCTCTTTTCTCACTCCTCCCTCACTGAGAGCTCCAGAGTGGTGTGTACCCGGCGCCGAGCCCCCGATCTGCATCGGAATGTAGAAAAGATCTTAAAAAAAAAAAAAAAAGTTTTGAATTCCTCAATGATTTTTTTCTTCTGGAAAGGCAGCTTAGGATAATTATTTCAGCTTTATTGAGGGCAGATTAGTTGAAGTCTGGGCGCTGCGTTTCAATACGCGTTGTACATGGGCCGACAATGTGGGCATTGTCGGCTACTGTGTGTGAATCCATTCAACATATACACTTTTTAACACCAACCCGAATCCTGTCTAAATATACACAGTGCGTAGGGAAAGATGTCTCTGACCCGGACAAATCCGGGTAAATCACACTTCCATAGTTACAGAAGGCTCACAAAGGAAGCCTGGACTCAAGATGCACACTACAACTTCTCACGAGCATTTACCTAAGAAGTAAATGCCCGTGGGTGGGGGCTGTGGGGACTGTGGGGGCTGTGGGGCTGCAGGCAGGAGGCCCTCTGCATTCTTTGGAGGGGGGATCTGTTTCGGGGTTACCATACTACCTTACATAAAGAAAACCCCGGCTCTTGTTATTTGTTATAGTTGTTTACCTTATGAGCAGACACTGAACTCTCAGGCCTTGGGTGCTTACTCCCGGTGGCCTCTAAAGTTTCTGTATCTTTCTGGGGCTGTTGGGCAGACCCAAGGGGTTGTGCCCGTGGATGCAGTGGGCATCCTCCAGACTTCCCAGAGGCCAGAGAGTTCCTAGGTTTCTGGGCTCCTGTTGCTTCTCCACCACTGTGGGAGGCAGCTGAAGTCTGGGGACGGGGAACAAAGAATGGGGTTGCTTTCGGAGACGGTGCAGTGTTGTTTCCATTGTCTAAAAATACACGGTAACGGAGGGGCTCGCCGATACTTGGCTGGGAGCAGGAAGGAGCTGGGGATGTAGTCCAATGGCACTGACCAGGAAAGTCCTCACAGCTTCATGCTCTCTCCGTCCTGGCTGCAAACTCCAGGTACCAGATTCCGTCTACCAAACCTAGGCTCCCCCAGCGGCTTGCTGGGAATGAGTGTGCAACGGGCCTCGTGATCTCCTCTCTCCTTTCTTCCTGACCACTCTCAGCGCTCACACAGGCAGAAAGAGGCGGTTGAGATACCGCGTGCAGACCTTGCCGGGCCACCTGGCCCGAAGCCTCTCCTCAGACAGGCTGTCTGCCGCTCCGAGGCCGGCAGCCTCTCCCTGACCCCAAAACACTGCTGGAACTAATTGCCTATCCCACTCAACTTCTCCTATGCCTGTTCCTTTTCGAATTTTTGGATCAGCTTCTTTGAGCAAGAGAAGAGAAAAGGAGAGAGAGAGAGAGAGAGAGAGAGAGAGAGAGAGAGGATATTAAGAGTTGCAAAGATTTTTTAAAAATTCTGTTTCACCCTCTTCTCCCCCCTTCCCCCCCCCCCCCCCCTCCGGCTAAGTGGTAAAACCGTCCTTACGTTCTCGGTATTGATTGGCAGGGCTGACAGTGATTGGCAGTGGTTGCCGTGGCAACGACACAACGACACGTCACAGACCAATAGAAAAGCGAAACAAAATGTTTCAATGCTGCACTCACTGTGGATTTAGGGGAGATATTATGAGGCTGTTGTCATTAGGGCGATTGCTGTGGAGTCGCTGAATCTTGACTCGGCGGTGGTTGGCTCTCGCTCTCCTCTCTCTCTCTCTCTCTCTCTCTCTCTCTCCCTCTCCCTCTCTCTCTCCCTCTCCCTCTCTCTCTCTATCTGCCTCGGGTTCTCTCTCTGCGCGCGCGCACCGGGCCGCTCTCCTTCCTCCCTCTCTATGTGGCTGCGCGGGTGTGTGTGTATGTGGATGTGTGCGGGGTGTAGGTGTCCCTCGCGTCCTTCCTCCTCCCCCTCCTTCTCCTTCTGCTCCCCCCTCCTCTCCATCTCCTCCTCCCCCCTCTCCTCTCCCTCCTCCTGGTCCTCGGCGCCCCTCTCCTCCTCTTCCTCCCATCTCTCTTCCTTTCCCTGAATTTTCTCCTCTCCTCTCAGGTCGGTCCATGGTCTTCCGCTCCCCCCTAGACCTCTATTCCTCCCACTTCTTGTTGCCAAACTTCGCCGATTCTCACCACTGCTCCCTACTTGTGGCGAGTAGCGGCGGCGGGAGCGGTGCGGGCGGCGGCGGC